TATGGGGACAAACACTTACCCCATAGTTCTCTTTTAAGCCATATAGGCTTACTTTTGTTGACGGCCTAGATTTGTGTATTTGACCTTTTTTTGGTTTCTCCATCTGTAGTTTTATTTTATTTTTGTTTCAGCGTTTCATAATGTCTGTTTTGTGATAGTTGACTGGTAATTTTTCTTTGGCATTGCCATATTCCCTCTACTGTACAATATGCTGGAGCGGCATGGGAAAAGCATCTGACATTCTTACCACCGTGGCTTGGCTATTGCATTCTTAATAAACATTTTGTGATTTTACTGCTGGAGTGGGAGAAGCCAGAAATCAATGCTAAATGATTTCAAAGTTGACCTAAACGTTTCATTTTAATTGTGGGTAGGAAGACTTAAACCCCATGAGATTATTCTTTGCTTTCCGTGTCTCTCCAGGGAGATTTCCCTCCACTTCCTGTCTTGAGGAGTCAGCAGAAGAATTCTTTCCAAAATGAGGGGTATTTATTTTATTACTGGAGCAGTTGACCTCATTGGAAAATGTCCCTCCCTCTCTGCTTCTGGGGACAACTGTAAAATTGGGGATTTCTAATTTTCTGTCTTGGTGTCAATGGTCACCAGTATGAATAGAGACCAGCGTCACTGGTTGCCAGGAGCTCAGTGGGATGCCAGCCAAGAGCATTCCAGATAGCTAAGAGCTGAGTGTGGAGATGTGTAGGGCCCTTAAGCTGGCCATACACCTATAGATTATCTGCAGATGTTCTATGGTCAGATGGAAAAAGTGCAACAGATTCATCCATATACGCTAAACTGTGTGGATGGCGGAATCTCCCGCTGGGCCAAACTTCAGTATCTTGCTAGTCAGCCCCACTGGCTCTCAAAATACCTGAACAATGCCTGCATCCAATTAGATTAAGGTATTTTGAGAGCCAGCGGGGACAACTAGCCAGATACTGAAGCTTGTCCAGTGGGAGATTCCTCCATCCACACAGTTTAGAGTGTGTTGCACTTTTTCCATCTGACCATAGAAAATCTGCACATAATCCTATACGTTTATGGCCGGCCAGCTTTACACATCTACCCACCCATCTCTTGGCAACCTGGAATGCTCTGGCCAGAAAGGGGGTGGCAGGCACATTGGATGTCTCTGGCTTTAGTACTTTGCAGCACAAGCATCCCACCAGTGATGTCCATACAAAGTAAAAACGGATATGTGCACTAGTTGTCAGCTACCCAGACAGTATTGAAGCAAATTTTAGGTCACAGTGGTGGACCTCATTCTCTCATCACAGGCTTTCTTTTAATCAGAAGCAACCCAATAGTCATGTGGCTTAAATGTCTACGAACTAGTCATTGACAATATAGTGCTACTGTTACATTCACCATAGGCCTAGCAATTTGCCTACTAGCTCCACCCAAGGTAAAGTGGAAGCTCGGTGGACTTTTACCAGACGTTGCAGACCACGTATTTTTATGTGATCTGTTTTTCTATTTGCTTGTTTCCTGACATTTTCCTGACATTTTATCTCAGGATGTTGATGCATTCAGCTTATCTATATTTTTCCCAGATTCAGCAGTTTCTCCTTGTTTATATTTCTAGACTTTGTTAGGAGAGGAAGATGACTTTCATTGAACCCAGAACTTCAATTCTGCAACCTCTACTGGTCTATCTGATGTGTTTTGACATGAAATATTTCTTTATTTCCTTTCTTTCCTGTTAGAGATTCCCTGCTGATCTTTAGCAGACCCTGCACCATTGGAAGGTTGTTAAATATATACTTGCAGAAGACTAATTTAGATACATAGCAGTCTATCAGTGTTTTTTACCCAAGATTCACTCGCTGTTCTAATTGTGTCTTTTGTGAAAAATAAGTTTAACGTGGGCAAAAATTGGGTAAATATTGGATGATAACATTGATAAATGGACCCTATAGCATTCATCAGAAAATCTTTTGAACCCTTAAGACTAAAGTGGCAATGCTTCTAAGGTATGTATGTGTTCTAGGCCTTGGTTCTCAACTGGTGGGTCGTGACCCAAAAGTGGGTCGCCGCATGCCTTCCACTTTTCTAGGTGAGAGGCTCCTCTGCCTCCCCCTAGTGCAACACTCAGTTCTTGCACCAATTCAAAATATGCTGCTGAGTGTCAGCTTAAGATTGGATGGGGCTATGGCCACGAGTGAGCTCCATCCATAAGTGCATTGCTTACAGCTCACTCACATGTTTTATAGAAGTGCCTGGACCTGAGTGACCTCGCATTCCTGCTCCCGTCACCTCTACAGCCTGCGCAAGGGAGCTGTACAAGTAATGTACATATGGATGGAGCTCTGCCACCACACAGCAGACCACACTGGACCTCAGGCTGAGGATCCATACCAGTTCTCGCAAGGTAGGGAGACTGGCTGGACCTTTAAAAAAATAAAATAAATAGTGCCCATTCACACAAGTACAGTGCGTTAATTGCATTGTGACGTGCGATTACCGCACTGTACCAATGTAATTTCGCCTACCGTGCATTTTGGTGTGGGAGGTGTGTTGCCATTCCTTTGAATGGTACCCCAAATGCACCACCCACCCACAGTTCGTACGCCCGCAACGGAACACGTGGTACCCTAATGCCGTGCGTTCCATTGCAGTTCCACTTGGGTTGTGATGAGGACAAATGTGGGTCCTGAGGTTACACAGGTTGAGAACCACTGGTCTAGAGTGAACACGGTGCAAGTAACGGCCAAGATGCAGCAAGGGCACACAAGACATACATGTACACTCTTCTGCCCTCGGCGCTCTTTCGCTGATTGTACATACCTTTTGAAGACCCAAATGCCTGTTAAATTATTAATCGATCATTTATCTCTGTGCCTTGATGCAGGAAGGACATTTTTATTATGATGTAGAGCGTTGCAAGCCTCTGATACACAGACATGGTTTTTCTATTTAACACATACCAGTGGTAAAATATGCAAATTTGATCTAGGTCTGTGATTCCCCCATCTACAGCCCATGGGACAGATATTGCCCTCTGCTTGCTTTTATCTGGCCCTTGGGCACTGTTTTCCCCCCTTCCGCACTCCACTCCCACCAATGATGGGGCACTATTCCTCCCACTGATACCAATGATTATTCCTCCTTCTACCAACCACTGACTAGACCAATTTTTACTCCTATTTATCCTAGCTAATATCGAACTTATTCTCTGCAACTGCCCATAAGTCAGATTCAGCCGTCCAATGTCTCCCAAACAAGATAAAACCAAGAATTTGCCATATTCAGGCTAACGGGGTGGAGGTCTACAGAACAGCCGTATGAGGACTGAATAAACATGTGCACAATGCATACGTCACATATGTAAGCGTACAGTTTTCTATGACTGGCTTTTCTATCCCAGGCAATCTGTATCTAAACAAATTGCAGCAGCTTTTTTTTTTTTCTACCTCATGCATGAAGATGGGAATATTGGGTTAAAACTACATAGACTGGAGCAATTGAACTGTTTCTTTGTATATAAATAATTATGTTTATTAAAAGTGGAAGGGTTTTCAATAGTACAAATTCCACTACTAGCTGTCACTCTTCTAGTACTGGTAAAGGTGCCCATACACTGTACGATTATCGCGGGAAATCATACGATAATCGCAAAGTGTATGGAAGGCGTGCTACCGTTTCTTCTGTACGGTCGCACGTCTTCCGTCGAACAAGCAGGCTGGAAAACCCGTGGCGTGCTTGTTCGACAACTGCCGAACGGGCTGGTGTGTGCATGCGCACACTGCCCGTTCCGCATTGCAGTCATCGGAAGCCTGCTTCTCAGAGGGGCGGGCTTGCGATGATCGCAAGTACGATCTGCCTGTCCAAGATGGGCAGATCGTACTTTTTTCAATTACTTTACAACCCTCGCAAGACAAAGGTCTTGCGAGGGTTGTAAAGTGTATGGCCACCTTTAGAAAGAGAGAAATCCTAGCATCTGCAAAAAGTTAAATCAAGGCAACTGGACTTGCTGTATTTTTCTTGAAGTCTCTTTGGTCATTGCTGACAATTCACAATGACTTGTACAAAATTCTCTGGAATAAATATGGTTACTCCAATTCACATTGTTTATCATAACCAGCATGGGGTCAGACACTCCATGGAGGAAAGGTGTAGATGATTGCTGCCTGCAGGCGGTGTGGACTCGCCCAGAGGTGTTAAAACAGCACTGTATGTGGCAGACAATAGATGTCTCACCCCCCCCCATTGCCTGTCCAAGATGGGCAGATCGTACTTTTTTCAATTACTTTACAACCCTCGCAAGACAAAGGTCTTGCGAGGGTTGTAAAGTGTATGGCCACCTTTAGAAAGAGAGAAATCCTAGCATCTGCAAAAAGTTAAATCAAGGCAACTGGACTTGCTGTATTTTTCTTGAAGTCTCTTTGGTCATTGCTGACAATTCACAATGACTTGTACAAAATTCTCTGGAATAAATATGGTTACTCCAATTCACATTGTTTATCATAACCAGCATGGGGTCAGACACTCCATGGAGGAAAGGTGTAGATGATTGCTGCCTGCAGGCGGTGTGGACTCGCCCAGAGGTGTTAAAACAGCACTGTATGTGGCAGACAATAGATGTCTCACCCCCCCCCACACACACACACACACACACACCTTTTAAACCAGTCCACCTGCCTGTCATAGTCTTCAATGGAGTGACCTTTTTCCTTTTTTACACTCTGAATCCTGACCAGAGGGTTTGGCTCTTCGATGCTGTGCCATACACTGGTGTAACTGCTGGGTTATTTTTTCCTCCGCCGACATACAGAATTTTTAGTTGCCCAGCTACCATGCTCTTCCCGGAAAAAAACCCCCAACCAGTTGAGCATCTCCAGTTCAAAACTGTGATATATTATATTACACATTTGTAATGAATAATTGCTAATATTATAATGTGTTTGTTACATTAGTTTATTTTTAAATCTCTCAATGTTACATTTTTAGTATTGGTCTTTAAATTACAATCTTTAATCTGTTGACTGTTCTGCCATTAGGTTAGGTCTGTATCTGTGGATCTGAACACTGACCCATCTCTACAGATTGACATTCCAGATGCAATCAGTGAGCGAGATAAAGTGAAGTTCACTGTCCACACAAAGGTGAGATGAAAGTGACCTTTAGAAGAAGCATACATGGTGAGGGGTTTGGCGTTTTTTTCATTTTGTATGATTTTTCTAATACCATTATGTATTTGCATGCTGCCTTCTATTTCCAGTGCATTTGGTAAAGGCCCTGAATATGTGCGACTTAAAGGAGAACTATGAGATGAGTGAAAATCACTCAGCCTCATAGTTCTAGCCGACCTGTGACATTGAAACTGTCACAGGTCGGCTCTATAGATCGGTGAAGTGAGCGAACACATACCGCCGCTTGCTCACTTCTCGATCTATCCCTGCAGAGAGCAGTGACTGTCACTCACAGCTCCCTGCAGGGATTCCCCTCCCCGCTCCGATCCTCCAGCGCTGACTGGCGGAACTGGAGGGGGCGGGTACAGCTGGCTCTGCCTCTAGATAGGCAAAGCCAGCTGTCACGCAGCTGGGTGGATCTCAACAGTAAAGTCGGGATCCGTCCCGGCTGCAGCGTCTCAGTATGCCACGAGCTGTAGCTTGCGGTATATTGAGCTTAGGGTTACGGGAGGAGGACGCTAGTTTGTGTCCTCCCATTTCCCTTAGGAGAACTATGGGGAAAAGCCCTAACCCCATAGTTCTCTAATGTATTTCCAAAGATTTATCCTAACCTCAGTGCTGCTGATGCATATGATATTCATGCAGCCTGCATATAATTTGTCACAATTCAGACCCTCCTTCAAAAATGTCTCTGCAGTATAGCATGTAAAAATGAACTGTATTGCAATTGACAAAACTGTGTGCTAGACTTTGGGGGGTTATTCACTAAAGAGCCGAAGGATTTAGCCAAACGTTCTGCTAATCCTTCGGTTCGCTTTGGCTGCAGAAAGCCTTCGGCTTAGTTTGGTAAATAACCCTCTTAGTCGTATGATTGGGGATCTCTGCTGGATAAAAGTTGTACAAAGCAGGAGGCATCGCTGCAGGTTTGTGTGCTCAGCAGTTATTCTAATGACTTTTTGTTTTGTTTGTTTAAACGTTTTACTTTTTCCTGTTTTCTTCTTTTTTTTTTTTTTTATAGATACTAAAAACCTCCCATACAGATGCTCCTCTGATTGCAATCAATCGAGTTCCGATCTTTCACATTTACAATGGAGTTTACTGTCCAGTGAACTCCCAGTTATTCAGCACCCAGGGGATCAGTAGGTGCCAGAAAACTGTACCAGAATGGTAACTCTCAAGCAACCATACCCTAGGCCAGTGGTGGCGAACCTTGGCACTCCAGCTGTGCCAAAACTACAAATCCCAACATGCATCTGCCTCTGGGAGTTAATGTCTGTGGCTGTCAGAGCCTTGCAATGCCTCATGGGACTTGTAGTTCCAAAACAGCTGGAGTGCCAAGGTTCGCCACCACTGCCCTAGGCGCTCCACTTCCCCATTCACCTGCCGGCTAGCATCTGCAGCCGGCAGGTTGCTGTAAACAGCCCGAAACAATAGCAAGACTGCTATTGGCTATTTCAAATTACAATAGCCAATAGCAGGATGGCTATTGCACCCACCCGCTGAGCAGAGAAGCGGACCTGAGAGAAAACTTTCTCTCTCAGGTCCACTCCTCCTCTTAGTGGGTGGGGTTTCAATAGCCAGCCTGGTATTTCAATTTGAAATGGCCAATAACAGCCTGGCTATTGTTCCCCATTGTGTACTGTCTGCTGCTGACCGTGACACTACAGTACACTCCCCAGTTTACGATAAACCCATCGTAACGCGAAGGTATCAGAATGTAACTCCATCATAAACTGAGGAGTGTCTGTACAAGGGATGTTAAGATACCAGTGCCGACACTTGGCATTTTCATAAGAAGTACCAGGGTTGCAGCTGGGACCTCCACCACTCTCCTGAAATCATTAGTCTGTATTGTTATAGAAGATGGATAGCTAGAAGATGGATAGCTAGAAGATGGATAGCTAGAAGATGGATAGCTAGAAGATGGATAGCTAGAAGATGGATAGCTAGAAGCATATCTATCGTACATATCTATCTTTCATACATTAAAACAGGGATGCACAAATCCCAGGAGTTCCGTATGCTCCTTTAAAAAACAATTGCCTCCTAACTTGAATGTTTCTCTAGTCTCGGAGCTGGAAAAGTATCTGTACTTGTACCGAGCACGGTACTTGGTATCTGAACATCCCTAGTCCGTACATGTTAAGCCTACATGTTGCAATGTGATTTGTATAATCTACATTTGATTTCCCCACCTCTATGCAGTGCAAGTACATGCTTGAATACATATAAACGGACATCTCACATGTCAAGCCCTCACATGACATTGTTTTGGCAGATTGTGCAGAGATTGTTCATGACCATTTGTAATGAGTATTGCCAGCTAAACACACTGGATACGAAAATAGCCTTGCAGCATTGCATATGAAACCTTCTCTTTTTTTTTCTTGCTTGTAGCAGATCACCATATAGAATGTTCAGTAAGAAGGCTGTGTGTGTATGTATTATAATACAGATTATAATTTATCTTTCAGACTACTTTGAACACGTTCCAGAACCCAGAGTTCTCTGTGACCCGTCAGCACGATGACTTCATCTGGTTACATGAGTCCCTTACTGAGACCGAGGAGTATGCTGGCATTATTGTGGGTATCTTTTTATTAGCTGCTTGCAGTCTCCCTAATCATCTCTGCTGGAAAATGACACCGATTTCAACTTTAACTTCAAATCTGTTTAGCAGTCCAGTTTTTTCAATGCTTTCAAAAATGAAATGTTTCAGAAGATGCAGTATAAAGGGCCTTTGTTGTCAGGCCTTTGTTCTTTTCAGAACTGCTTCTATCTCCATACAAGCCTGTAGGAATGTAAAAGCTGACTGGTCAGATCTCTGTGATTTGTGAATAATCTCAGAAGCATCTGAAACTCATGTCAAAAGCATGCTGCGGTTGCCCATCAACAAAAGCCCAAAGCGTGTTGACACGGGTCCTAACATACCTATAACAATGAGGATCGCAAAGCAATAACTTGAATGTACCCTTTAAGGTGAATTGTTGCTTTACTTCAAGAAGAACTCCAAGCAGAATTATTCTTAACCCTTGCAATGGGACTACCCCCTGCACTGCAAGGGTTGTGTGCTTGTTCTCATCTAGAGAAGAAAAGTTATACTCACCTGAACCTTGCGGCTGGCTGGCTGTTAGACTGGTCTCTGCAAGCCTCTCTCCCCCTCTTCTCCAGTGGTCTAAGGTCCCGTGAATCACATCCCATACAGTGTATAGAACACGAGGACGCTGAGGGACATGTCATCAAGCAGAGGGGTAGAGAGCCTGTAGGGATCGGTTTAACAGCCAGTCGGTTGCAAGGTTTAGATGAGTATAACATTTTCCCTGTCCTTCGACAAAAATGAGAATAATTCTGCCCGGAGTTCTTCTTTAACGCTGACCATTCCTGTAGCTTATATTTAGCGTTCTTAATATGCAGCTTCTCTAACCTGCCAGAAGTGCAAGGAAAGTCCTGTGTAATCTTGTAGCTTACACCGGGCTATGGATTCCCAGTGTGCCACATGAAGTGGGTCAATCAACACAGTCCGAGCTGGACCACATTCCTCTCCATACCTGAAAGTACTTGGTATTTCCTTTTAGGCCCCCCCGCGCTGAAGGGAGAGGTGGGGAGGTGAAGGAAGGTGAAATGTTTCCTGCTGGTTAGAGGGATTCAAGCAAACCTGTTGCTGCACCCTGAATGGGCCCAGGTTTCATTTAAAGGTGCTTCTTATAGACAGACATATATCATTTTAAGCCTTTCTGCACTGTGCAATTGACTAGTCTGTATCATAAAACCTCATGTTGGACTTTTATATCCTATTATGCAAAGAAAGAGATGCAAGCAACTTGTTTTAATTTCTATCCAGAAAAGGAGCATATGGGAGGAACAGTTTTTAAAAGTTCTTTGGTATTTGATGGCTGTTTATGCCAGCCAGCATAGTGCAATTTAAAAATAATTTTTAAAACTATATAACATTTTATTAAAAACTAACAAAACTAATTGATGGTTAATAGGAAGGTGTTAAAGATTTGTATATTGTTAAGAGGCTACTGGCTCATTTTGCATGAGGCATTTTGTGAAATGACACTACAAAGTTTATTAAGTTTGTTGTAGTCTTGGCCTTTGACAGAGTGGACTGAAATAAAGCAAAAGGCTTTGTGAATGGGTATGACCAGTAATAAATTGCATTGCTCCACTTAAAATTCTTTTCATATCTAGATTCCACCAGCACCTGCAAAACCTGACTTTGATGGGCCAAGGGAAAAGATGCAGAAGTTGGGTGAAGGAGAAGGCTCTATGACAAAAGATGAATTTGCTAAAATGAAACAAGAATTAGAGGCGTATGTACCTGCATAGATATTTTATAATGTATATTTTTATTGGGTGTAACTATCGCCTACCTATTCTATTGATATGTTTTCATATATGCTTTCAGAAAATATATGGTTTGGGGGGTCTTTTACAAACGCTAGCAACGCAGCAGTTGAAAATCAAACCAATAGGAAAAAATTGCAGAAAATTCAAAAATGGCTTGGCCAGCTGATTTGAAAAATTTTCCGGAGGGCTTGGCAGCGAAAGGGTTAAATGACAGTGGTCAATCCAAAATTGACAAGGATACTCATTTTTCAGACTCTTCACGCCAACCTTTTAAAGCTGAACTCCGAAACTGAATAGTTGAAATTCATATAAGGAGCGGTTATATTTGGAAAAGCATTTGTATTTGTCTGCCCATTCCTGATATTACTTGGCCCTGCCAATCTATGCAGCCTAGATGGTGACTTAGTGACATTAAAGGATATTTTTTTCCCTCCCCCCAATGTTAGTGTAAGGACTTACCTTTTTAAATCATGCTGCTTAATCCCATCTTTCCTGTAGTTTTCAGCTGTCCCTCCAGTGCTGGTCTCCGATCCAGTGCTGACTCCTCTGTCCTCCTTCTCTCATGTCCCACAGAGTCTGTGCGGGTGCACGCTGCTCCATAGACTTAACTTTTGCAGGGGTCAAAATTTCGAGTCCTGAGCTACTAGCCAGGCCTTAAGAGTTACTCGCCACCAGTTGCCCACCTAACCCCTACCCTCCCGCGGCCTTAACTCCGCCCCTAAACGCACACTCTTAAATAATCTTCTCAATGACGCGGTTACATGTTTTATGCAGAATAAAGTTACAAGAATATCCTGCTTGTCTTTCTGCAGGGAGGAGGCGAGCAGGCAGATAGATCTCTGGTGATCTAGTGTGATTAGTAAGGTCTGCAGACCTTACTAATCACTTTGTTTTTCGACCCAGAGCTCAGTGAAGAGCTCTGGCCGAAAGCAAGGGAGACAGACCAGCAGGAGCAGTTGCTCCCACGAGTCAGGTAGGCGGTCTGAGACCGCAACCCTGACAGGAATTTCCACTCGCCTGCACTGCATTTCCACTCGCCAAATGCGAGCAGGCAAGTGAAAATTTTGACCCCTGCCTTGTGTCTCTCCTCGTCTCCCGTCCGAACATCTGAGTTGCGCATGCGCCCACCCCAATATCCTTTGCAGCCGCCCAAGACTCTTCAGATGTTTGGATGGGAGCGTGCGGTATAGACACAGGTAGGTTTAAACCTGTTTAAAAAATAAACACCTTTTTGAAAGTTTTTGCATAGATCTACTGCTTACTAGCAGTAGATCTATGCAAAAACAAGCTGAGGGTTCATTAACCCTTTAACCTTCCTCTGTGGCACTTGAGCAATACAACTAGGTCACCTCCCTGCCCCAAGCCCGTGACTGGGTGGTGAAGGAGCAGCAGATCACATGAGTCCTCTCTAATGAGAAACAAACTAACTGGGGACTCCTACCACTGACGTATCTAACAGATATTTCTAAAAGGGTTAAGCTTATTGTTAGAATGTTCAGTTTCTTATTTATTGCCATTTCATATTTACTTGGCGGTCTGAACTGAAATACTTTTTATAGAATTCCAAACAAGGATTAAGAAAATGTTCTCTCACCAGCCTGATGTTAGGGAATCTCGTCCAACAAAAACTGTCAGGAGCCAGAGAACTTGTTTGTAGAGAGGCTCTGAGTCACCATGATCCAGCATACAATGTATTCTCTATTACAGTCACAAGTTGCCACTTGGGTCAGTGAGGACACATGACCTTCTTTCATCTGGTGCGTTAAGTGTTAATCCTTCACATGATTCTTCCTGGTTTTGTGGCACACCCAAAATAGAGGTCCTGTGAAGTGACCCCATTATAAACGCATATAAATCTAGGGTTTTCTGTATACGTGAAGCGCACTTTTAGATGTGTAAAGCTGTATGAATAATCATGCAACTAGTGATAGCAGACTATATCACTGTGTTATTTATAGTAGATTCTCTGTTGTACATGTGTGCCTTAGTCTAATACAGCAAGGGTTACAGGACATGACATCCCAAAGCATAAAACTCCCTCTGTACACAATTGTGCAAGCCCAGCTCCTGGTAGCATAGCAGCACTAGGTTCCCTTTTTGGCTTAGTTCGGCTGAGAATCAAGAGGATGAAATATGTAGAATAGAGAAATGAGTTCTAAGACAGCATAGAGGTACATGATGGATATTTCAGGATCTGGTGCATGTATAGGCTAAACTTCTTCCTTTTTTTTTTGGTTAGAGTTGAGAAGAGTTAAAACACATTTCAGTGTTTGTGTAGTATTGGGGAGATATTTTGTCTTCACTTCCTGTCCTGGAGATGCAGTAGGAAGTTAGAGGGAAATCTCCCTCTGTCCCTGTTTATATTTAGGCATTTTGTCGTTGTATGCTTGAAGCAGCAAAACTCCCAGTGTTCCAAACTGCATTGTTTTCTAGGGTGCCCATTCACACATCAGCGCTCTAATGCTTGAAGCAAAGCAACAGTTTCTCCAAGTACAGGAACTGCTTTTTGTGCGTTTTCTGGCCATGTTCTTAAAGTGCAGATCTCCTCCTTGACAAACGAATGTCAGAATACTTTTTACCATTGGACATGCGTGCTAAAAATGTGAACCCCCCCATAACCCCTCATAGCCGCTGACAGCCAGTCGTCAATCCGGGCTTTAGTAATTACACTTTTAAACAGTTGTCACCAGAGCATGGTCATTCTTGGAAGCAGGGCCGTCTCTATAATGAGGCAGCCTGGGGCTGTTGTATCAGGTGGTATTTTAGAGCCGCATGCCACTCTGCCTGCTGCACCCCCCACCCCCACCTGGGATGCTTTGCCCAGCTCCTGGCAACCAGTGACATCACTGCCCAGGAGCTGGGCAAGATGCCGGCCAGAGCTGGCTAGCATGCTCAATCGCAACTGCAACCCCCGTTGGCATGCAAGACCAACACATAAAGTCCTACCTTCCTTACCACAGGCAGCGATTAGGCTAAGCCAGGGGTGGCCAAACTGCAGCCCTCATGCTGTGGTGGAACTACAAATCCCATGAGGCTTTGCAAGATTCTCACAGCCACAGACATCACTCCCGGAGAGAGATGCATCATGGGATTTGTAGTTTCACCACAGCTGGAGGGCCAGAGTTTGGCCATCCCTGGGCTAAGCTAAGGATGCCCCTGCTTAGAAGATGTACCCTCGCTTACTGTGCAGGGGGCCACTTTAAACATGGGATTCCCCCTAGCTTTATGTCTTGGTGACAGTGGTCACCAGGACAAATGGATGAATATGCTCAACAGGGACACAAACTGCAATTAAAACTTAACAGAGGTTCTAACCCTCTGCCCAAAAAAAAAAAGTTTGGTCTTACATTTTAAAGTTGTCCTGAATTGCTGTAATGCACCCATGTGTAGTGAAAGGCTTCACCATTGCTTGTACATTGTTATGACTACAGGAAGATTGTGATGGAATTTATCTCTGTCCTTTGCCTTCAGCTGATTGTCTTTTTTTAATTTTATATTTTGTTAGCAGAAAAGCTAAATATTAAAAAGCATTCTTAGCTTGTAGCCAGCTGACTGTTCTTCATAGGAGGTGCAAATGGAAAGTCTCAGTTGTCTGTGATAAGAGAAATACTATTTAAGGGTTTACGCCAATATGTTTTTTTTATAGTTGCAAAGCACATATCCAAAACTGTGCAACTCATCCTGAGGGGCCACAGATGTCTAAGCTGCTGTTTCTTCCAATCAAGTTGCACTTTAGGACAATTTTATTTATTATTAAATATCTTTTTGGTAAACTAAATATTAACTGTAAATACTACACTTCATTTCAGCATTATTTTTATTTTATTAAGTTTATTTTCCTTTTAACACATATTTTGTTGGCTAGCAGCTGTGGTTTTTGGCAGGAAAGAAAATGTATGCATGTTTTTTTAGCATTTTGGCAGATGATCCTCGGTCGTAATGCTGTGTGTGGAGCTGTGTCCAAGGTTTATATGGCATACAGATATCTCCAGGGATTAAAGTTTCCTGGGCACACATAGTGGAATGCAGAGGCTGGTGTGCCAGATGTGTGCAGGAGGACAACACAACTGCCAGCGTTCTTGCTGTGTGATTTTTATTTATTTTTTTTCTTTCATACTGAATTGCTGTCGGTCAAAGCTACACAAATATGAGAAGTATAAGGATGAAATCTACTGTTCTACTAGACTGTACACCTTGGAGTCATCTGCATTCTATAAAAAAAAAAAAAAAACTTTCCCCTCCTTTTTTGCAGGGAATATTTGGCAGTTTTTAAGAAAACCGTGTCTGTACATGAAGTTTTTCTACAGAGAATTTCCTCTCATCCCAACTTGAGCAAAGACCGTAACTTCCATATATTTCTGGAATACGACCAAGATGTAAGCACCCTTCCTTCCTGTGTAGAGGCCTGAATGCTGACACAGCTCTTTCATTTGCTGATGGTTTTCCATTTGGTAGCAGGAATCTCGAATCGGTCATGTAATGTCACAACCCCATTTTTTTATTTTTTTTCTTCTTACTAAAGCAGAGCTCCAGCAATGCGGCTACATAGATATCTGAATTGCATATGATTGTTTTACCCACCAAACGATTTGTCATTCTGTTCAGCTGATCTTGTATTGCAAGGCACAACCAAATCCTCAACCTCTACTGCGGTAGCAGAGCAATATACTCTAGACCGGGGCTCAACATTTCAAGTCCTGAGCTACTAGCCAGGCCTCAAGAGTTACTAGCCACCAGTTGCCCCACCTAACCCTTACCCTGCCCTGGGCTTAACTCCGCCCCTAAACACACCCTCTTAAATAATCTTATGATTCTTATTTTCTAATAGTTGCCACTTGTAAACGGCAGATTAGGGATTCCTGCTGCAGGAAAACGCAAGTTCCTGACACAGGAATCTCTAATCACACCTGAAATATACTGTAGGTGTGAATGGGGCCTAATATACACATACACTAAAGGTGTCCATACACCTGCCGATTATCGTACGATAATCGGCAGGTGTATGGGCAGCGTGCGACCGCTTCTACTGTAAGGTCGTACGACTTTAGTCTTCCAAGCACGCTGGAAAACCTGCCAAAAATCTTACAATCAATTTTTGGCGGGTTGGTGGTGTGGTCGGAAGACGAATGCCGCGCAGGCCGATGTGCGCAAGCGCACACTGCCCGCTCAGCGCTGCGATCATCGGAAGCCCTCCCCTCGGCCGGGAGGGCTTGCGATCGCAAGTACGATCTGCCTGTCCAAGATAGGCAGATTGTACGAAATTTTAATGACGTTACAACCATTGCATAATGAAAGTCATGCGATGGTTGTAAGGTGTATGGGCAGCTTAAAACACAATAATACACT